CAGGGTCTGCTGGCTGGGTGCTGGCAGGCTTGCACCTGGCACGGGCACCATAGCCAGCCCGTGCCCCTTTAAGGGCTCTGGGGCCGGGAGGGGGGCATACGAGTTTCCCTGGTGGTGCCCAAAGTGGCCACCAGGGAAAGCTGAGGAGGGCTAGCCTCCCACTAGTTCGAATTAAGGGACTACACAGCCATTAATTTGAATTAGTAAGTTCGAACTAGGCTTAGTCCTCGTGCAATGAGGTTTACCTAGTTCGAACTAAGTGCTCCGCTAGTTCGAATTAAGTTTGAACCAGCAGAGCGCTAGTGTAGCGCCTATGAAAGTTAATTCGAATTAACGTGTGTTAGTTCGAATTAACTTTGTAGTGTAGACATACCCTTAGATACTTTCTCGATTTTGCATTGTTGGTTTTTTCAGTGTCCAGTGCTGAACACTGCCTAGGTCTCATGCATTTGGTAACAACCTGAAGTGCAGAAAAAGGAACGAGGTGACGGGGTCACCCAGGTGTGTGGGGGGGTCACTGGGCCCTATACCCCCATCCACAGCCAGCCATGGCTCCCAGCTGCCAGGGAGAACAGGAGTGTTTCAGGCCACGGGGACACGGCGGAGAACAGACTGGTCAGCGCAGGGACCAGGAGCAATCAGGACAATTCAGCTTGGGAACAGGGGGGCCCCTGCCTCCCCAGCCCCCCGAGACAGCCTCGTTCCCCACAGCCAGACTCCTCCTCCAGCCTTTCTCCTGCTTCCCAGGTGAAAAATGTCACCTGGTCGCACCCCCTCCCGGACTAAGGTTTCAAAGGGCCTCATCCATGGTGTGCCTGCAGGAGGGTGTGTGAAAGCATGCTGGGTGTCCCTCTCCCTGCACCCCCATCCACAGCCAGACGTGACTCTCAGGCGGCCAGTAGAATAAAAGGTTTGTTGGTTCTCAGGGACACGGCGTAGCACAGGATTGGGGTGAGCACAGGGACCCAGTGCAGACGCCTTCTTCCTCTCGGGGGGAGGGGCACCGGGCCCTTACCCGCCCCCCCTTCCCTGTGCTCATTTGCATCTCTCATCCTAGCCCAGCCCAGACTCCCAGGCCTAGTTCCCTGCCTGGTGACAGTCCCCGCCTATATCCTGTCTCTCTCTCCGGAAACAGAGACCTTATCTTATGTCTGATACACATCTGGGGTGAGTCATCAGGGCTCACAGATAACACAATACAGAGATAAACCCAGGGTTACAAGAGTAAACAGCACCCCCACTACGTCTGCGGCTGTCACCACCAAAACTCGCTTCCACATCTAGGGGTGAGTGCAGTGCCCAGGGAAACTGAGGCACACACAAGGGGTGACTACAGGACAGTCGAACTCACATGCAGCATAGCAAGGTGAGTACAATCCCCACTTCGTCACAATTCCCAGTCATATAAGCATAGAACTATAGAGCTGGAAGAGACCTCAGAAGGTCATCAAGTCCAGCCCCCTGCTCAAGGCATGACCAACCCCAACTAAATCAACCCAGCCAGGGCTTTGTCAAGCCGAGACTTAAACACGTCTAGGGATGGAGACTCCACTACTTCCCTGGGTAACCCATCCCAGTGCTTCCCCACCCTCCTAGGGAAATAGTTTTTCCTAATATCCAACCTGGACCTCTCCCACCACAACTTGAGCCCATTGCTCCTTGTTCTGCCATCTGTCACTACTGAGAACAGCCTCTCTCCAGCCTCTTTGGAACCTCCCTTCAGGAAGTTGAAGGCTGGTCTCAAATCCCCCCTCACTCTTCTCTTCTGCAGACTAAACAAACCCAAATCCCTCAGCCTCTCCTCATAGCTCATGTGCTCCAGCCCCCTAATCATTTTGGTTGCCCTCTGCTGGACCCTCTCCAGTGCGTCCACATCCTTCCTATAGTGGGGGGCCCAGAATTGGACACAATACTCCAGATGTGGCCTCACCAGAGCCGAATAAAGGGGAATAATGACATCTCTGGATCTGCTGGCAATGCTCCTCTTATTGCAACCTAATCTGCCATTGACCTTCTCGGCTACAAGGGCTCACTGTTGACTCATATCCAACTTCTCATCCACCGTAACCCCCAGGTCTTTTTCTGCAGAACTTCTATTACTTAGCTGCTTGGTCCTCAGCCTGTAATTATGCTTGGGATTCTTCCCTCCCAAGTGCAGGACTCTGCACTTGTCCTTGTTGAACCTCATATGATTTCTTGTGGCCCGATCGTCCAATTTGTCTAAGTCACTCTGGACCCTATCTCTGCCCTCAAGCGTATCTGCCCTTAAGCCCCTGTCACCTGTCTCCTACTGTGGCAGCGGCTGGGGGGGACAAGGCCCTTTGAAGTCTCCCTGCGGCAGAAGGGCTAGGGTCTTGGGGAGAGCCTGCAGGAGAGGTCATAGCCCCTGCCTCTCCCCATGAGCACACCCCGAGCTGGAGCGCCGAGAACA